GATTCCGATGGTGAAGAGATTTACCTAGAAGGACGTCGAGTGGTGCTGCAAGCTCCATCTGATATCAAAGAGTTTGAAGAACATTTGCGGTCGAATAGTGAAGCAAAGATCATCTCATCTGGGCTTATTACCAGACTGAGTGAGTTTGATGCGAGGTTATGTTTTTTCTAAGCATAGCTATCATTTAGTTGCATCGCAGTCTTCGTTTGACAAAAAAGTCGTATGGGTCAGCACTCATCGCTTGAAGACCCTTTGCAATTTACTGGTATCAGAAAAGGAGATGTCCGTTGGAGCCAACTTAACGATATCCGAGTTTTTGGATGCCGTTAGCCGACACTGTAACTCTAACATTTCCAAACCTATCAGGAAGCTCTTCGACAAATATTCATCTCTGCAAGTGGCTAATGTGGCTGTATGTTAACTCCAAAAAGTGCTGGGTTTTCGAATGATACTGTAGCATTTCATCAGAGTTGGGCAGGCGGATTCTTCAGCGGTTCTTCGGATCTATCCGCCCTGTTTTTGGCTGTCAATCCTAACTTGACCATCCGTGACACGGCCGGAGTTTATGGGTGGCGGCATGTTTCCGAGTTAGTGGACGAGAGCGGAAGAGCAAATTTGGGAAAATCTCAATTCGCCATATCAATGTCCTTCCCTCGATCGAAGGTAAGACAAATAGAAATAGTTGCTTTGTGTATTTTATCTAAAATCTAAGTCACGGACAGGTTCCTGATTTATGCAGTGAAGCTAAAAATACTTGTTCTGGGACTGAGGAGCACCCACAAGCTGTTTTTACGAATTTAAGGAAAAAAACAATTTGACCAACCTAAGTTGCATTAGCGTAATAATCTGTGTGAATGAGTACAAAGTTGAGGTTATCATGGATCAGCAAGCAGTTATTCATACATCAGCATGTTAGGGCCAAGAACATGTAGGAGTATTCGCAGCCATAGCTTGGGCAGAGCTATTTTTCAGCTTTTATAAGAAATGGTTTTTTGAGAAAATAGCCTGAAAATTTGCAGTAAACCTGCGCTAAAAATTGCTATTTATCCTCATGTGAGCAAATTATTCATACATGATGATGCTTATTTGCAAATTGTAACCATATATTAGGTTGTGTAATAAGTTCTGTCCCATTTTTT